AAGCTTTTGGTCTGTACTTGCTTTTCTGATAAAAGTTTTCCAACTGTTTAGTTGTGTAAAGACAGCAGTCACACTGTTTTTTATATACTGTAATTTTATATAGTTATTTTATATAATTAAGGTTTACAGCTCAGACATTAGACAGAAATCTGGAAAAGAAAAGAAAAGAAAAGAAAAGATGCCAATATTTGAAAGTAGAGATCTTCTTTCATCCTCTGTACTTTAAACAGAGTCAGCTGAAAAACAACCATCGTCTCTGCGTACACAGGATTCCCACCCCTGTGTGTTATCTGCAGTGAACGTCCTAATTTAACCCGTTGCATCATCACATTCGACTCTCATTGGATGCCCTCATCCAGGTAAAAAGCCCTGTGATTGGCTGAAGTCTCATCACTGACTGGGGCCTAGAAAAGGTGCAAATGTTTAGTTTTCTCTTGAGTCTACCTGAATTACAATCTGCACAAAGGTGAGTAGGGGATTACTGGCAAATGATGACATAAAATACTGCCAGAGTTATGCAGGATTAAGGGCGTGGCGTCTGTGAGTGACGGATGGGGACCTGAGGACGGTCAGTAGCCCAGAGATGTGTGCATGGCCCTTCTCAGCTATTTGTCAAAGCCTTTTATACAGACGTACAGAACTAAAGTATGGACAGAAATCTGTGCCACTGAAAACACAACGTGAATGATTTCTATCGGAATTTGTTTAGACAGCGAATCATCTAAAAAAACTAAAAGAGAAAGTGCTAGCTGTTGATCTCCTGCTTGTTTCCATGGAGCTCACATTAGCCTGCTGGTTGTCTGAACTAGCTAACCAGTGATTAGCTGACTAACTGACCTGAACGGTGATGATCCATCAGGACCAGGTGCAGACCTCCTACCGTGGATCCACCAGAGGTTTTACCTTCACTCTGTACAGCAGGAGGACGAGACGACGTCCTGCAGCTGATTGGCTGTTGGAGCTCTGATTGGCTGATGGAGCTCTGATTGACTGTTGGAGCTCTGATTGGCTGTTGGAGCTCTGTGGATCTGCTCACTCTCCCTTGGTGACCCTAAGTGTGACACAGCGAGACAGAACCTGAATCTGAATTGTGAAAACCCAATGTAGAAAGTTGAGTTGTCAGTGTGGATGTAATAGAAACTGGGACACTTTTGTCTCAGCTAGGTACTTCTGGTAGCCATCTACAAGCTTCAGGCAGGTCTGTGGTGACTTAGTTTGTTGGTTAGTTGGTTAGTTGGTTAGTTAGCCCATTGCCGACCCACGGCTCCCATGTTTCAACAGACTCTGTGTTACTTGCTTTTTTACTGAAACGTCGTATTTGAAAGCCGACTCTTGATCGCAGTGATGTAGCCAATCACAGGCAAATATCATATATCCCAGCTGACTCAGGGCGAAGGCCGAGGACACCTGGACAGGTAACACAGGGCTACAGTCAACAGTGTGGTGAACAGTCGTCTGTTTGGAAGGAAAAAGGAGGAGAAGAAGGAAAAATTAAGAAAAAAAGAGGAGAACTGAGAGTTTCTTTTGACTTTGCTGCCTTTCTGATTCACTTGAATGTATTTTCTTAAACTTCAGTACCGGCTGATGGTAGGGGGCGCTGTGGTTATGAAGGTCGTTGGCTGGATCCCAGCTGGTAACATATATATGTATATATATATATAACATCTATATTCTAACACACATTTTAAGCATCTGTTGTTAAACTTTGAGATACAACGAACTGGGTCATTAAATATCAGATATCTGTTGCTCTCTGGTCACCGCCACACAAACAGCTTTCACTTGTGTGTCATTTGCTACTAACTTATTGTGGGGCTGCAGGTGGATCAGTGGTCAGCACCGTGGCCTCACAGCTAGAAGGTCGCCGGTTGGCGTCCCGGTGAGGACACCCGGGATCTTCCTGCGTGGAGTCTCCATGTTCTCTCCGTGCAGCGTGGGTTCTCTCCGGGTTCTCCGGCTTCCTCCCACAGTCCACAAACATGCTGAGGTTAATTGGTGATTGTAAATTGTCCGTAGGTGTGAATGTGAGTGTGCTTGGTTGTCTGTCTCTAAGTGTAGCCCTGTGATAGACTGGTTACCTGTCCAGGTGAACCTGCCTTCACCCTGAGTCAGCTGGGATAGGCTCCGCCCCCCATGACCCTGGTGAGGATGAAGGTGTAGAGATGATGGATGGATGGATGTTCAACTGATAAAACTGTTCATCTACAACAGCACATTAAAGATTAATGACTGATGTGATTATTCTCTAATTTGTTGAATCCTTTAAGGTAACGATGTCTTGCACTCTAATTAACAGACACACAATTTAATCACAGTCAGGAGGGACATGTGGTTCTGTATGGAGCTCAGACACGACGATTCACCACATATCAACTTTCACTTGTGGCTTTTCTTTTTTTTTTTTTGTTGTTGCTTTTTTTGCCAAAAAACAAAAACTTAAGTCAGCTGTTCCTTCAGATCTTGTTTCCTGTTTCCAACTTCAGTTTCAGCAGAACCTGCTTCCTGTTTAAGGAGTGAACACTGACACACAACTGCTTTAGTACTTGAAGAAGCCCTCGAACTGTCACAGTATTCTAGATGGAAACGAGCCGACTGTAAATGGAAAAGTTGACATCAACCACAAGCAACAACTGCACATGAAAATGAGAAAAAGCTGCAGTCCTACAGGGCTCAATCATGGAAGTATTACACAGATGCACTAATTGTCTCTGTGATGAAGATCAGTATGAAACCACCCCAGACTGCTCCTGATGAAGTCATGGATTAGTGCCTACAATAGAGGTGCTTCAAGTGAGCGATGAGTCAGACTCATAAATGGGAACAGCAGTGTTTACTGCACACAAAGCAGGTGAAATAGGGTTAAATGTTGTCCTTAAGCCACAGCTGTGAGCTTGTAGTTTGTCCTATAACAGTTATTAAACTTTCATCTTGCATTCCTTTCCTTGACCACATGCTCCTTCCACTCCACTGCCTACTAATTAACAACATCCAAGCACATCATTACAATACCCATAAAACACGTCTGCGCTGAAATGAGTGTTGACGCAGTGATCAGGCAGTTGCTCATATGACCGAGCTGCCCAGGAGGCATCTTGCTTTGTCTGCATTGTTAGATGCTCTCCTGCTGACCCGCCCTGTGACCTGCAACCCATCGAGTCCGTCTCAGAGGAGCAACGTTCTGCTTTTTATTGCCACATTATTTATTATTTATTATTGTCAGCATCTGATATCTGATTAAGCGCAGAGGAAGCATTCTCGGGCTGCAGGTGTCTCAGTGGTCAGCACCGTCGCCTCAGCCCTGTGATAGACTGGTTACCTGTCCAGGTGAACCTGCCTTCACCCTGAGTCAGCTGGGATAGGCTCCGCCCCCCATGACCCTGGTGAGGATGAAGGTGTAGAGATGATGGATGGATGTTTAGACAGTTAATCTGTTTCCGTGTTTTCTGTTTCTACACTAACGATGGCTGCTGAAAAACACTGCTCTCTAAATATTAAAAAAATACATAAATCATTAACTGCAAACCTTTCGACTCTTTGTGTGGGTGTGTTCGAGTCGTACTGGAGGCGGCTGTGCCTCAGGTGGTACAGCGGGTCGGTCATTGATCAGAAGGTCGGCGGTTCGATTCCTGTAACCTGCGTCGTGGTCGTTGTGTCCTTGAGCAGGACGCTTCACCACCTGCCTGGTGTGGATGCGTATGAATGGATGGAGGTGGTGGTTGGAGGGCAGGATGGCAGCCAGGCCTCTGTCAGTCTGCCCCGGGGCAGCTGGGGCTACAGCCGGAGATACCACCACTGCTGCATTAATCTGATCTATTATTATTATGAGTGGCCGTGCAACAGGTCCGGTCCATCAGCTCCATCTCATCAGAGGCCTGGGCCTCTCCATAAATTCACTCCTCCTCCTCCACCACAGAGACAACAGGGAATCGACCAGTTCTCCATCCACGTTGAAGCACCGTGCTGACCAACTATCTCCAGTGTGGACAGATATTTTCCTCACCTCACTGGAGACATGCTCCAAGACCTACACCATCATCTCCGTCCCCACAAAACCAAGTAACACTGGACTGGATGACTACATATCTACAACTTGACTGCTAGGGTCATGAAGTCATTGAGTGCCCTGTGCTGTCCCACTGTAGATCCATCACAGAGCCACTCCTCGAGCCTCTGCAGTTCACCAGCAGAGCCAACAGGTCTGTAGACCGTGCTGTTAATATGGCTTCCCGCCTCATGCTGCAGCAGGA